CTGTGCATATTATTTAAGGGTTTGCCAGCAGGTGCACTATAATTCCCAAATGTTGGGATTTTATACTACAGGTCTTTTCATTCAACTGAACATTTGCCTGTGTTGTCACACCTGATGCAAGGGCTATAGAAAATTGTAAAACTTTCAGGGTTTCTGACGCTTTCTTCTTACAACCTTTAGCCCTTAACATTTGCTACACTTACCAAACTACAGTTTAGGGCCAGATCTCAGTTCTGGATATAAACTCTTGCATTAGTTCATTTGAATCTAGTTTTGGCAGCTAGTTTTGGCATGGCACTATGTAACGGCTGTATGGCAGAGAACATAAAACAAGATGATGGTCTCAGTCCAGGGGTCAAGATCACTGGGGAAAAATCATCGCAATATGCACTTTCATTGGCTTACATGGCAGGGAGGACATAAGCACAGGTAAGAACTACCTTGCCCCCACCTCTTTGAAGTGTATCTCTCCAGAACAGAGTTGAGAATGAAACATAATTATGGGAAAGCTTGCATTGCCATTGTTCATGTTGTTGCTGGTCTCTGCATAGATTCACTTTCTAATGCTGCCAGTCTGCCTGCTCACAAGTGCAAGAGACTAATTTAATTAATTGTTTTTTACAAGGAGTTATGTAATGCCTTGTTATTTTGAAATAAGTATTCAAATTTGCTGAGTTTTCCAAGTTTGGAAATGTGCTGCTGAGGATATGTAATAGTTAATTTTTCAAAATGGCTTTTGGTGCAGCGCATTAGCGATGCTATCAGACTCAAGTAAATTGGAATCATGTAATAAATAAATGAATCAATCACTGAAGGACTATACATTTTCCTCCTCCCTTTCTACTCCCCCTGAATGTATTAAAACTAGAGCTGATTGAAAAGTTTCTGTGGAAATGTTTTGTTGGTGGAAAACTGCTTTTTAACAAAATGGAAAGTTTTGCAAAATAAAATGGAATTTTCATCTAAAATGTTTGGGTCTTCAGAAAAACTGGAAACTGAAATCAGTTTTTTAATGGAAAGCAGGAAAATGTAGATGGAAATGAAAACAAGTAATGTTCATCAAAAATTTTGCAGGAAAAAATATAATTTCCCCAGCAAGATCTAATTAAAACCAACCAAAAGACAAACATTCTACCTGGGGTCCTCGATCATAGATCTATGTTTGGTGGGAAATCTTACATGTGCAGAAATACCTGGGAATGATGGAGTAAGATGAGAATGACAACGCAATTAGAACACAGAATTTCCAGGCAAATGGAATCTCACACCTTGAAACAAAGATGTCCAAAGACGTAGGAACCCCTGTAACTAGATTATTCCCCACATTTTAAAAATAGAAAAACAGACAGTAAGTTTTGGTACCAAAGAATGTCTGGGGCCTGGTCTACACTGGAGGTGGGGTGGGGATTGATCTAAGATTCGCAACTTCAGCTACGAGAATAGCGTAGCTGAAGTCGACGTATCTTAGATCGACTTAGAATCACTTACTTCACGTCCTTGCAGCACGGGATCGACGACCGCCGCTCCCCCGTCAACTCCGCTTCCACCTCTCACCGTGATGGAGTTCCGGAGTCGATGGCAGAGTGATCAGGGATCGATTTATCGCGTCTACACTAGATGCGATAAATCGATCCCCGATAGATCGATCACTACCCGTCGATCCGGCGGGTAGTGTAGACATGGCCTAAGATACAATTAGTCTTTTTAAAATATCCATGTTATGCTTCCACAAAAGGCAGCTTTGAGGAATCTCCCATTACCTTCACCTTTACCAAATGCTTGGTACGTGGAAAGGCCCCTCTTTCCACATGTTACGTCTTGACCAATACAGTTTATTTGCTTTACTTACTCCTAAAATGAGACTGTAACCAGGGCTCTGTGAAACTGCAGCAAAATTTGAAAATTTTGACATTTGTTTTCATTTTTTTGTGAAACTGATCCAGTTTGACCCCCAAATCTGTGAAATGTTGAGAATTTCCCTCCTTTCCAGTGGAACATGGTTTTACTTCTGAGCAAAATAAAGTATATAAATAATAAACAAACAAAACCCAACAATAAAAACTTCTCTATAATTTTAACATTACAAATTTCAAAATTTAGTTCTGATAAAGAGCAGTTTTAATATGGAAATACTCAAAATATCAACGTGTTGGATGGATCAGTGCAATATCTGCCATTTCATAGTGCTGAGGCTGCAACATGGCCTGGAACAAAACTTAAAAAAAAATAGTGAACTTTTCTAATAAAATATTTTATCTTAGCCCTAAATTATGTGGCTGATCCTGTGTTCACTGAATTCTATGGCAAAACTCTCATTGAGTTCACTAGTGGAGGGTCAATCCCTCTAACTCAAGGATGATCAGTGACAGTTCATGTAAAAACCACTACAGATATTACTTACCACAAAACCAGTAACTTGCCTGTAAATCAATACATTACCTGCTGCTTATGGGTGGAATTATCTAGAGTATCTAAGTAGCTTCGGTGCTCCAGTCAATGGGACTTTTGCTCTTAACACACTTAGGTGCTTTCTACATTTTTAGATTGAAACCAATGGTTAAAACAAAAACAAAACAGAACAACAACCCCAAACCCCAGAATGTCCTTGCCATTGTGTGTTTATGATCCTATTGTAATGGACTTCTCTTCCTCCACCAACTGGGTGGCCTAGACTATGGTTTGAGTTAGAGAGACTCGGGGAATGGGAATTTAAAATGAGGGCATGGCTTCATTGCAAAAAAAACCCAACAAAAACAAGGGGGAGGTGGTGTCTTAACTCGAGTTAACTAAGTCAAGTGAAAATCCTAGGGAAGATAAGGCAGTTGTAATTTTAACCTGAGCTAACGGATAGCCTCCCCCTACTGTATTTAGTTCAACCTGCTAACTTTGTTAAAAATACAACTGCTTTGTCTTCACTGGAATTTTAACCTGAGTTAGAGCACTCCCCCTTTTGTATTTTGTTTTTCTTCAGTGAGTGTTCTGGGCACTAAAAGGCCTAGCAGGAATGCTCCGGAAGAATGAGGCTTACATGCAGCAAAGTAGAGAGTTATTGGCTTTAATGAAGGTAAGTGACACACCCACAACAGGGACTCCAAGCGTTGCTGTCACGGAGGCGGGGAACCCAGCACACCGGAGCTATGCCTGGGACGGAGTCCGACGAAGGGGCGGACAACAAGCAGTAAAAAAGCACTACACATTAACATATCATGAACATATAATCAAGTACTTTCCTAAGGGGTTTTTCTCTAACTGGCAAAGGGCCATATGTGGCGGTTGAAACCGGCCAAGGGCTGGTTACAACCGGTTCTCTGTGTCCTACAATGACTGTCGGCGCGAGACAGCGGTTTTTCCCTAGCTAGGCCGTAACAGAGTCTTCCGCAGTCCCTTACAGTGAGGTCTTGCCCAAAGTGTGAAATCCTAAACTCCCATTAACTTCCATGAGGTCAAGTTTTCACTCAAGTGTTCTTTTGATGGCTGGGACTGCCTGTCACCAGCTCTAGGGCTCTGGCTTAGTTAAAGGTTCACAGTATGTCTCACCTCATTCCTTTGGACATCCCCGATGTTACAATATTTTAGGCCCTGATTCAGAAATATACCTAAGCTTGTGCTTAACTTTTAAGCACACAAGTTGTCCCATTTAAGTTAGTGATGTCAAGGGGCATACTCACCTGCTTAAAGCTAGGCATGTACTTTAACAGCTAGATGAACTGGGGCTTTAGTGCAGTTTTTTAAAATCAACGTGAGATGCTTCTTCCCCCCCATAAAAGTGATAGCTGCTGTTCTTCCAAGAATATAACACGTAAGAGAAGTTGAACCAAGAATTATCCTGCATAAAGAGTCCTGTTCTGCCCCCCCACCCCTGCCAACTTCACTAAGAAGCAGCTAAAAAAGGACCTTTAACTAAATTAAATAAACATTCAAAGATATTAGAATGTGGCATCTTAAAAGTGGGATTTTTTTCTCCTGGAAGATCTTTTATATTTTTGTTGATTTTTATTGATTTTTTTTAAATGTTGCCATGGAGGTTTCTCACTCTTCTACTGTTGCTGTTTTCTCATAAAACTCTCCACAAGTCTCAAGGGAAACATTCTCATTAAGGTCACAATGGTAAAAGAAAGCTTTATGGCAAGGTTAGCAACCATTTCTAATTACTTTTTTTTAAAAGGCTATTTCACTCTTATATTGGTCATTTAAGCTAAAATAAGACTTGGGATAATTTAAAGCACCCACTCCCTGCCTTCAAGTCATTCAGAGTGCTATCCTTCAACAAGGAAGTGACATATAAAAACATTCAAAACACAAAAGCACCTTCCCCTGAAAGAAAATTAGGCAGTATGGAAGCCTTGTCTAAACAAAAAAGCTGCACAATTTAAACTAAACCAGTATCATTACCTCGCCAATGTGGATGCAGTTATATTGGTATAAATGGGCTGAATTACATCTCTCTCTAGCCACAACAGTGATTGCTTACTTGCAAAAGTCATATTAGGAAAGGATGTGTGTATGTTTAGTGTAATTTAGCAGCTGGTAATGAGGAGACCAGCACAACGTGATCCTCCAGCTCTCTCCAAACCACCAGGAAGGGTTTCACAGGACAGCAGTGGCAGTAGTAAACAAAGCCACAGTGCAGGAGCCATTGCCCTCGATTCCAAAAGCACAGTCGTCTGCTTGCCTAAGACTTGGCGGTGAGATTCCTGAAAGGTGATTGGAGTCAGACAGTAAATGAGTCAGGAAGAAACTAAATGAGGAGGTAGCTATAGTGATGGCCTACACCATGATAAAGGGCTTTAGAAATCAGCACAGCCAACTTGCATGTTAAGCAATCGTTTTATAAGCAGCCAATTGAAAGAATGAAGGGTAGATGTAATAACGAAAGCACCGACTATTTCTATAGTGCTGTCTGCCTGAAGATCTCAAAACATTTATAAACATGAATTGATTACAACTCTGAACAGCCCTAGAAAGTAGGTATGAGAAGTATAATTCTCTCTATTTTACAGATGGAGAAACAGAAGCGCAGATCGATCAAGTAGCTCTCTCAAGATCACACGCCAAGCCAGCACCAGAACCAAAACTAGAACATAGAACTCCGACTCTGACAATGAGGTTATGCTGCCTCCCGTAAGATATGATTACAATGACAAGGGAGAAAATATGCTTCTGGACTCCAAAGCTGAATGTGACAGAGAGAGACTTCTGCAAGCCTTGCTCGGAGAGAACTGTAAAACTCAAGTCTTGTAGTTATGAGGTTATGCCTGGTTGTTGTGAGATAAATATGGGTGCAGCTTATGCAAATTGCAAAACTATTAACCACGACTGGTAGATGGTTTTCAATGGTGAGGTTGTGATTGAAAATGACACCTAGATACTTACCATTATTCATTACTTCTGACAAAGTCATTTCTATAAGTTGGGGATGGGACATGAACGAGATGAAAGTAGCCTCATGGCACAGTTTTGGTCTTCAAAGCAATATTCACAGGTATTTGGTAAAGCTTTGTTATCCTCAATTATATAATGGTGTACACTATACGGGTCACAAATAATTAGCACAGAGTTTTTATAAATCGTAGCTACATGTGTACCTGGGGCAGAATTCTTATGCCAGCACCGTGTGCAAATGTTATTTCTCTTTTACATAAATGAAAATGACATAATTGGTAATAAGTTTAATTTAGTCCAGGTCAGCTGTATACGGTAAGGCATAAAGGCTAATTTGGCATCAATATAGCCATATGATAATGTGAGAGTTTAAAGAATGAAGAACTTGATTTTCTTCTTGAAAACCCCTATATGACTATGTCTCATGCTCAAAGATATAATCCCAAGGAAAAAATGTGGCACTTTCAAAGGTTAAATAGCTATCACAGAGGGAGTGGTCCCTGGCTGCCATTTTGAATTCACTCTTCTGAGGAGCCAGAGTTTTACAGTTTTAAGTTCCTTTCTCCCACTCTTCAAAATGACGTGTTTGAAATCACATGACTGGATTCACACTTCTGATGGGGCGGGGGCAGAGTTTGAGGACAAAAATGCCATTGGAATAAATAACCTCTTCTGACTTTTCTTTTTTGGTCAACCACACCTAGCATATTATAATAAAAAAAATCCCTCTAGCCTTCAATTCTTCATAGGCACAAGAGAGCAAATATTGTTGAGGATATCCCCATCACACTGGAACTGGTGCAATTCTAGTCCAAAGAGGACAGTCAGAGTCACAGAGGCTGACATCTCCCACACAGTGTAGAGTACAATTCCCTGGCATGACTGTTATGTTCTGCAACTATGTGCATCCACTGGCCATTGTTCCCAGTGAAGGTGCAGGAATATTAGAAACATAATGTCTTGACTTCAGCAGGTTTAAATCTGAACTCCCAAACATGATCATAGTCCAAAGTTTTTTTTTGTAATGGTGGGAATCCATATTTATTCTGCAGTGACGCTGTTGATAAAATAAACTTGTTTTTCCAGTCACCACAATCCAGCCTGGGATCTGAAAACTACTGTTCTTTCTGCTCCTTACATTATTGCTGGCACTAAAGATTTTATCATCTGAATTTAGCTGCCAATTCCGTTGATGACACACGAGGCAGAATATAATGTTTTATGCTTCCATAGCTCATTGCCTCTGCAACATCAACAGGGATATCATAGAATCATAGAATATCAGGGTTGGAAGGGACCTCAGGAGGTCATTTAGTCCAACCCCCTGCTCAAAAGCAGGACCCTTCTTGTCGTGACGTTGGGTTGAGGGTGACTGTATGATGGCATGGAGTGGCTGCCTTGGTGACCTTTCCTTCAGATCTCTGCACAGCTGTGCTAAGGATAACCTCCTGTAGTTGGTCAAAATCTGGTGTCTCTGATCCTGATTTGGGACATGATACAAAGCTCACTGAAGTCATGGCCTTGCTGCTGCAGCTCATCTTGCTCCCTCTTATTCATTCAGTGTCTACTGGCAGCAGAAAGCCTGCAACTTCTTTTCTTTTCTTCTCTCTATCCTTCCGGAGCTGGTTTCACTGGTCTTGGGGTGGGGGTTGGGGCAGGTTGGTGCTTGGGAATAACAGCTGTGATGTTGTGCTTCATATGTTTTATGGAAATATGCTTATGAGTGTGAATGTGATGTAACTGGAATATGCTTTATGCAAAAGGTCTCTTGTAAGGGATCATAACAAAGGTTATAACCTACTGAATATATTTGTATGTATGTATCATTCTTGTATCTGAGGCTAAAAATATGAAGTATAACTCTGAGGTCCTATTGTAATTATGCAAAGTGTGGGCCATTAATGGTGGCTTAGAATCTTGATGGCTCCCATTGACTAGGACAATTGGTTGTAAATGGCTGTTTACTTGCAAACCTTCCTCTGTACATGTGGGCCAGCCCAGGAAGAATGGAGGGTGGGGTCTCACAGGACATGTGATCATGTCACCTGATACTGGAATCCATCCTAAATCTGGTACTTTTCCATTTAGAAGGAGAGGTGGGGACTCGGAGAGACGAAAGATTCCTGGCTTGTGCCAAAGCTATAAAAAGGGGTGAAGCAGGACAGAAGGGGCTTCCAGGGACATCCCTGCTTTCCACCTGAGATGTCTGCTGGAACTAAGAAGGACTGTACCAGGTGAAAGGATTGGGCCCAGACTAGGAAGGAGTATAGTCTGTGAAAGAAGCTTATTGGAACATCTCGGAGAGTGAGATATTATCTGTAATCAGTTTCTTAATGTATTAGGCTTACACTTGCACATTTTTGCTTTATTTTGCTTGGTGACTTACTTTGTTCTGTCTGTTATTACTTGAAACTACTTAAGTCCTACTTTTTATACTTAATAAAATCACCTTTGTTTATTAATTTACCCAGATTAAGTGATTAATACCCAGGGGAACAAACAGCTGTGCATATCTCTCTATCAGTGTTCTAGAGCATGGACAATTTATGAGTTTACCCTGTATAAGCTTTATACATAGTAAAACGAATTTATTTGGGGTTTGGATCCCATTGGGAACTGGGTGTCCGGGTGTTGGAGATAGGTGACCTGCTGAGCAGTTTTTGGTTAAAGCCTGCAGCTTTGGGGGTGTGGACCAGATCTGAGTCTGTGTTGCAGCAGGTAGCGTGTCTGGCTCAACAAGGCAGGGTTCTGGAAGTCCCAAGCTGGCAGGGAAAACGGGCTCAGAGGTAATTCCAGCATGTCAGGTGACAGTCCCAAGGGGGTCTCTGTGACTGAACCCATCACAACAGCAACTGGCAGTATTGTCATACTGAAGAAAACTTTAGGATCTACACATATCACGTTCAGCAGCAGAAGGGGAAATGGAGGGATATCAGCATTTTACTGGCTTAGGTAGAATCTATGCTGAAAACCAAATAATCATTGAGACATTGCTCAAGAAATCAGGGATGAGCCTTGGATGAGTCCTTCAGGTCAGTTGTTTCCTCCTGTAATCTGGCATGCCTACTTATTGGTAGATATATCCCTTGCGCTCTCCAGGCGTACAGCTTCATCTTGTTAGTACAGCTATTGCTATGTAATGCAAGGTTTTGTTGGCACTGATGCTCTGAATCTGTACTTGCTGTCTAGGAAGACAAACAAAACCCAGCTAGTAATTGATATCTGGCAAATAAAAAACAAACAAACTGAGATCTGCTTGGTTTAGCAGTCTAAGGTAGGGTTGTTTTTCTTTCCCACAATTATTGCCATCTTAAGTACTGTGTATCCAAAACTATGCACATAGATGGTGGTTCTTAGTAAGAACTTCAAATAAGCTACCATTATGGAATGGGTGATACTGTGATATTACTTCGTTTTGAGACAGCATGTCCAAAAGTGAGCAAAAATCTGGTGCTTGGTGTACTTATAGGTCACGAGGATGAGCGATTCTTAAAGGCATCTGGACTGGTGCATGTGTATGTGTCTGATAGATGACTGAAATGTACATACACATAGGAGACCAAGGGCTGCCCCTTCTCTCACTGAAATCCGTTAAAATTCCCTTTGATTTCAATAGGAGCAGGTTTGGGCCATACATTTATAAAGGGGGGCCTCCAATTTGGCCTCCAATTTTTCAGGTGGTAATACTAGCATGTCATCATCTACCTGCCTGATTTTTGAGTGAAATCATGGAGGTATAGATGTGTAAATGCTGCTGTTTAAACCGGAAATTAGTTATGCCCACAAAATCAGAGGATGATTTAAAAAATCTAGACCCTTTACATCAACGTTTTAAAAAATTGAGCCGTTTTATAAAGAGCACGTTTTGATTTTGGATCATGAGAAGCAAAGTAAAATCAGCCATTTCATATAAAGAGAATAGCTGATCTGTGGATGGTGAAAGTTAAATCCTTGTCAAAGTATAAGAAGTGCAATCCTGACTTGTCTTTAACAGTCATTGGTTGAATCTAGTGGAGATCATCTATGAAAAATATTACATTTTATGGAACATTACAGTAAAGGAAAACCTGTCACCAACCTTGTGTTAGTTAAGAATTACACTCTACTAAGAATATAGTGATGAAATGATAAGATAAATTATTATTCTATGTTGGGTCTCACGAGGTTAACTGTTTAATATGTTTGTTTCTCATCTTTGTACACATACAATGAAATGTGAAAATATAGCTTTGTAAATGTTTACAGTAACTAAGAACATCTATGTCAGGTGTGCACTTAATCATGAATTGCTATGTAGGCAGAGACTGTGCATGAGCATACATCAAAAGGGATAGCTATCTGTGCTCTAATGTATTCTTCCACATGGCCATATCCAATACATGAACTTATTATTCCATTAGTACCCAAACCACAATCCTTTCCAATATCCAGCTGTGAAAATGCAAATAGCCATATACTTTGTTTTATTAAGGATCAACCATTAGGGGGGTCATTGGTTAAAGGCTGAACATCATTAGAGGGATTAAACAAACAAACAAACAGCTGTTGTCATGTATCTTGAAAAGCTTCTGTTGTATCAATGCAATTTTTATCTATAGTGATGATGTTGTCATGGGAACATATACATAGGGGAATTAAATGATGTCAGGAAAAGTGTAAATGATGCAAACAAAACTCATTTGAAATGCTAATTACCACACCCTCCCCACTCCAAAGTACAGTTCAATTTGATCTTATTTCAGATGGAGGGAAAAATATGACACTTTTGTCTAATAAGAAGTAGCTTACATTGTTGTACCAAAGTGAGTATGAGTCAGTGAGTTAATCTGCATTGGCAGCATTTGCACTGGGGACCATCTGCAGCCCTGCTTGTCTGAGCATCAGTAATATTCCTCTGTGAATATCTCATCTTGATGGTCAGGGGAGGCAGCAGCCTCTTTAAAGAGTTCCATAAATGCTTATAATTGCTGCATTAAACTTCAGTTTATTATTTTCTCCAGGTGCAGGTATGCGGATGATATGAAACCCCACTGCATTTACATACAAATTGAAGATTTTTATTAATCAGCCCAGTAACAGGAATCAAACGGCAACACTCCATCAGGTCCTTAAATACATTTGGTGACATTTTTACCATGCATTAGCATGATAGGGCAAGTAGAATATAATGTACCAATGATTGCTTTTCCATTGAAAGCACAAACGGTTTCATTTTTCCTGTCATCTCAAATAAGTGTTAAAGAGGGTTTGGAGGCTATTGTGTACGTTCCGTATGCTAGGGACTTACAAACACTGATGGCCACATTAAATAACCATTAGTGGCTCGGCTTAGATCATTGCAACATCCCTCCTCTTCAGAATTTATTCTTTGATTTAAAGTGAAAGCAATCTGTGACTGCTTTCATAAAGTCCTTCGGCTCCCTCCATTTTTTTCCTCAAACAAAATGCATTACAACAGTAATTTTATGACTGTTAAGATAACTGCCGTTAACAAGCACTTAATTAAAATGTACAATAAATAGCAGGCTGCGGTCTTATCTCCTCTCATGAGCTCCCAGCAGCCTGAGACTCCAATGCACAGCCCTGCTGTTCCTCGGCTTGTTTGCAGATTAATTGCTTTTCTGTCTGGCAAAAGCTGCTTCTCCTTCAGCCAGATCGTAAATGACCAGATAGGGACTTTATCAATCAAGCTACTACTTTCTGTGATCACTTCCATTCAACACCTTCTGAATTTCGCATTGAGAGGAACAGAAGTTATAGAGATAGGATTTAACATCTTAGTTGTGTGTGCTAGGAATTTACGATAGTCCTGTCACCATTTGACACTGTTAATCTTTACATACAATACCCTTGGAGCAAGGCTGTTTTTTGTTCCTACACTGGAACTATCCCTTGTAAGGACTGTGAAGAACACATATGAAACATAACCGAGATGCTCTCCATAGCATAAGGTTACATCTATTTCACGATCTGAATGCACTTGCTGATGTGCCTCAACATCTCTCTCTATCTAACCATGGATCCCAATCATTTTCTGCCGCTAACTTTGATCTCTCCTTTTATGTGTTTATTCATTATTTTCATTGGGGTAGCCTTCTGGTTGTCCTAATCAGGGCCCCATTGTGCCAGGTACTGTACACACATAATGAAAAGCCAAAGAGGTTTTATAAAATCTAAATAACAATTTAGTATATAGGTTTTATTGGGAGGTTAAGTCAAAAACTGACATAGATTGGAAAGTGCAATGATTTTCAGATAGATTGACTTCTGAACTAAATAATACCATATATACAAAGCTAATTATAATACATGATTTTTCTTTACCAAGAGATACAAAAAGCCCCAGCTTTTGCTCCTTTCAGAATACGCGTGACTTACCAATGTAAACACAAACCTACCATGTAAATCAATTGCAAACCACTTTTTGAAAGGTATTCCTGAAACTACAGAAAGGTATGCTGTCTTCATGTTACCTGCTCAGAATATAAATAATCTCTCTAATTTATCACATTTCTTTCACATGCTGAACAGAGGGAATAGCTTCTATTTGGAGTTCTAAACATGCACGGTGTAGTGACTTTGGAAACAACCCTATATTAACACCACAGTTGGTTCCTGAATACATATGAAGCTTCAGTGTGTTAAACATAATTTGTGTAGCTTCTTCAGTGTCATCACTAAAGTCAATCTCCTTCCCCCCCTCCCCAAACCAACCAAAAAAACCCCACAACCCACCCTCTGAATGCAGCATCACAAAGATCATGTACACTTTTTTCCTCACTAAGAAAGGCCGGGAACTTTTCTAAAAAAAAACTTATGCTCAGAGAGACAACATGCAGGCCTGTCCCTAACGACACAGTGTAAATTTATGTTAACAACCTCTATGGCCATTTGGAGTAACCTTGCAAAAGATCTTTTCCCATATGATATCCTCTGAGAGGTTTGCTCAGAGTCTCATTCTCAAAACACATCACAAAGAGCTAATTATAAGCAAATTAAAAGGCAAGTAGCACTTAGGAGGACAAACCAGCCAGCCCTATCGGCAGCCTGGCTCTGAAACAGCCCCAGAGTAGATTCACAAAGACTCTGGCAAATGCATAGTGTTCATGTGAGTGATGCACACATATCCGCTGAAAAATAAACCCCAAGATGATGGAGACATGACTAAGGTGCAGAAATGGAGGAAGCAATAGATAAAGGATTGCCAGAGAGATCCAAAAGCTGCTCAAGGAGAAAATACTCCAAAGCATGGCACCTTCCAAGCTATTTGTCATGGTTAATACATGGCAACCACTTAAATAAGCAAACAAACAAGCAAGCACACAAGATAAAGACAAACATAATCACCCAACACAGGAGCATACAGTCCTGTCAATATAGTAAAATTACATACATACTGAATAGCTAAGTCAAGCCAATGCTGACTTGTCCAAATGTCTCATGTGTATGCATGGACATTTGCAGCT